CACCAAAGGGACCAGGCAAGGGTACCAAGCGTGGCCCAAATAGGGGCGCGCCTAGTCCCGGGGAGCCGGAGGACCTCCCCGAACAAATCCGGGAGGTTGTCATGGCACCATGTGCCCCCAACTACCTCCCGGAAGCAGCTCCATAAGAATTGCGCCGCCGGGCACCGGAAAAAGATGTGGTTGCAATCTTCCGGAACCAGATAAATGGGACATAGACCATCCCCAGGTCCATTACGCTTACGGACCTCAATGCCCGAGGGGAGGCGTCCTCTAACCCATTGCCATAAAAATATACGGATCTTTAGGGGAAGTTTGATCTCCCAGAGCACCGTGAGCTCCACTGGACCCGGAGTAGGGATAATCGCCTGGTACAGGGATCAAGTCGAAAATCTACCGCTTGGCTCGAGGTGCCAGGAAAGCGAATCCGGTTCTAGAGAAGGAGGATGAAGGGCAATGCATTCAAGTAATTCATCCCATTGCGAAAGTTCGATCGCCCCGAAGGTGCGACGGAAGGCAATCACGCCTAAGTTCTCTAGTGCCGCGGCCACAGAGATCTATGGGTGAACACAGATAGAGAATAGCGCGTAAAAACGCTCTGCAAAGGGGCGGGGTCCCGCCCATCTATCCAGCCAAAAAAGGGTGGCAGACCCAGAGCCTATCTGGATGGAGGTCCCAATGCGTAGGACCGGCAACAGAGATATCACCGATAGCCAGAATTGGGAGCCTCCAGACCTAGAGGCAAATGCTAATGGTTGCCCGCGAAGGTACTTCCTACGAATAATCTGAAGCCACATGCCGCCTTCCTCAGTCTGGATCTGCCAAAGCCATTTGGACAGGAGGGCAATGTTCATGCGCTTGGAGGAGATGACCCCCAAGCCTCCCTGGTCCTTAGGTTTGCAGATCTCAGACCATTTGACCATATGGTACTTCTGCTTATTGTTCTCTCCTTCCCAAAAGAAGCGGGAGAGTAGTTTGGTAATTTCCTGATGAAGGGATTCATGTAGGCTATAGAATCCCATTATATACATCAGTAGGCTAATAAGGGAGGAGTTCATTAGAATCACTCGAGCGGCTTTAGAAAGCCATCTCCCTTGCCAAGGCTCCATTCTAGGTTGGAGCTTGGCGACTATTGGACGGAAATCCTTTTCCAGGAGTCGTGCATCACTAAGGGGCACGCCAAGATAGGTCATCGGGAAGGAACCCAAGCGGCAATTCAGACGATTGGCAATCCGCTGGGCCTCCCTTTGGGAATATCCCATGACCATTACCTCGCTCTTGGCAAAGTTTATTTTGAGGCCCGACATTTCCTAGAAGCAGAGGAGGAGGAATTTGAGGTTTTGAATATCCTCATCAGATCCCTCCACCATCATAATGGTGTCATCCGCGTATTGGAGATGGGTTAAACCCCCAGGTGTCACCAAATGAGGACACACCCCTTTAATGTGACCCGCATGCTTGGCCAAGTCCAAAATCAAGGCGAGCGCATCAACCACAAGGTTGAATAAGAATGGGGAGATCGGGTCTCCCTGCCGGACCCCTTGGCCAGACATGAAGTAGGGGCCAACCTCCTCATTGATGTTAACAGCCGTCCGGTCACTCGTAACTAATTGCATTACCCGGGCTACCCAGTGGGGGTCAAAGCCACGTTTCAGCAACACTTCCCGAAGGAAGGACCAGTGCACAGTATCATAGGCTTTATGGAAATCGATCTTGAAGAGGACCGCACGGAGGTGTTTGCTCTTAACCTCATGGATAATCTCATGGAGGGCAAGAACCCATCTAAGATATATCTCCCTTTTGTGAAGGCCGACTGGTTCGGATGATGAATCCAGAGGGCAATAAGGGCCGCCCTAGTGGCGTACCCTTTAGCAAGGATCCGAAAGATCACATTGAGGACTGTGATGGGACGGAATTGTCTAATGTCCGCTGCTCCCGGTACCTTGGGAATCAAGGAGATATTCTCGTAGTTAAGTCGGGACATGTCTAGGGTACCCCTAGAGAACTCGCTAAATAGATCAAGGATGACATCCTTGACCATCGGCCAGAAGGCCTGGAAAAAGCAAACTGGCAAGCCATCGGGGCCAGGGGCCGACATCGGGTTCATAGCTTTAACAAAGGTCTCCACTTCCGCAGCATCGGAG